CAGATGAAGTCGCCACCGACTTGCATCGCTATGGGCTAGACACCAAGCCGTCTGAGGATCTGCCGAGTTCCAGGGTCCTGGGTCTGCAGATATTGTCATCGTCGGGCAGACTGCAGTGGTCAAGACGCGGTGGCGTTGATCTTGCTGTGTCATGGCCATTGACCAAGCGTAGTCTGCTGAGCTGGTGTGGACGTGCAACTGGTCACTATCCAGTATGTTCCTGGCTTCGTCCGGCCTGCAGTGCGTTTAAGAGGATGTATTGCACAGGAGAGAACTGAGACGTGCCAGTTTCACCAGCAGTCGAGGCCTGCTGTAAAGAGCTCGCAGCAAGGCTTGACACGGAGGATCCCGTCCAAGGTGCTTGGAAGGTGTGATGCCTCACACATAGCTCTTGGTGTCTTGTAGGATATTGATGGTCAGGTGATTGAAGACGCATCGTGGTTGCGGCCCCGTACTGATCACAAGCACATCAATGTGGCTGAATTCGATGCTGTCGTGAAGGGCCTCAATCTCGCTCATGACTGGGGTGCCACTCGAATTCAAGTCAATACAGATTCGAAGACAGAGGCCAGCTGGTTGCAGCAGACTGTTCACGACCTGCAGCGCATGAAAACGAGTTGGTTGAATGCAACGATGATTCGACGTCGGCAGGAAATCATCGACGATCTCCTTGCAACAACGGATCTGACGGTGGACGTGCTGTGGGTTCCGTCGGCCAAGAACATTGCAGATCCCATCGTCCTGGGTAGAGCTGTTCAAAGGGACGGATGTTGTTTGTGTCGATGTTGCTGCTGCTTCTCCTGCCACTACTGACCGGCATCTTTCTGAAGGAGCAGAGTACCAGCTGAAGTGTCGTTTTGCTGATGGTGCGCTGTGGCAACTTGTTGAGGTCGGCCGGAGAGCGCAACGGTGTGGCCTTGTGGTTGATAAGGATCTTAAAATAATAAAATAAATGTCAAAAAGCTACAGTGCGATGACATCCACATTCACTCACACCATTTCAGTGTTGTGGGTGTGTTCATATGGCGTAAGCCAGTCAAGTGTCAGTCAGTTCGGCAGGAAGCGCGAGCAAGTCGTTTGGTGCAGCCATCTTCTTTGTCTTGTACCAGCTTGATCACCAAAACAATGAAAAAAGTTTGATTTGAGGATCGACCTATCAAACACTTTTGATACAGTGTGGCACCGTTGTTTGTTGGCCAAAGTCGCCTCCTTTAACATCGGTGGCAATGTTCGGCGGTGGATCGAAAGCTACCTATCCTGCCGGGTCCCACAGGTCAGGGTGTCCGGTTCGCTGTCCCAACAGCTCGAAGTATGTTCCGGTGTTCCACAGGGCTCAATACTTGGTCCTCTTCTCTTCTTGCTCTATGTAAATGACTTAACTTGCGTTCAAAATACCTCCCTGTATGCCAATGATACTACTCTTGTGGCATCTGAACTTTCCCTGCCCCTGGCGTGTAATTCTTTGCAGTCGGAAATTCGCTCAGTGGTTGAATGGATGCGTCTCTGGAAACTTTGACCTAATGCTGGAAAGACTGCCATATTGTGCATTCCACCTCATCCGCGTTCCGATCTTTCCTACATCGACCAGTACCTATTCCACTTTCCTGACGATCCCAATAGTTAGCCACCGCAAACACCTTGGAGTCATCTTTGACTCAGGCATGAGTTGGTCCCACCATCTGGAGTATCTCGAGCGCCGGACAAGTTCGGCTCTTGGTGTTCTATAGTCACATGAGCCATTCACCACTAGTCTGTCGTCGGGGTTTCTACCCCTCCTATATCTCACCCATAATTTTTTACTGTAGCATTGTGCAGTGCTGGAGCAGGAATGCCTACGCGGCTTGAGCAGCTGGGATCAATGTTTCCCACATGGATTGGACTGCAGTTCACACGGCGACCTGCAATGAGATGGTCAGATGTGCCAGAGGGTTGTCTGGGCGGCTTGTGGTAATACGATACCAGTCTGGTTTTCTGTGGGACTGGCTGGGCTGGGCTAGGGCTTGTACGAAGTTGTTGTACACTGGAGCTAGAGGGGGGTCCGGAAGATTGCAGCATAGCAGCATAGGATTGCGCACCATAGCCCGTGCTTGTCCCCGTTTCATCAAGTGACATATGTGCATGTGTTTGACCTTTTGCAAGTTGCATGGCTCTCGTAGCATGCAAGGCAGCCTCCCCGCTTTTTAGGACGGCTAACTCAGTCTGTACGACAACAAGATCAACTCTCAACTCCTGTACGTTCTTTTTCAAACCCACGACTCATGGCCAGCAATCGAGGACATATTAGAGTTGTAATTTTTGTACTCCTCCGAGGTGTGATTTTTGGCGTGCTGGGCCAAGCACAAGGAAGCCATCTGCAAAAAAAACTGCAGAAAATGGTTGTTGTTTGATCCTTTGGTGTAATCATTGTTTCTAGTCGAAGCTAGTTGCTGTTTGGAGCAGAAACGCTGAAATTGACTATTTTCTGCATGTACTCATACATGTACTCATGTACTCAGTCATGCAGTCTCACTCGTATTTTAGCTCTTTTTTCTGGAATGGATGCTGCTCTGCGCCCCTTGGTGAACATTTCCTGCGCTCGTGGAGCAGCTGAAAAGGACCACTGGTATGTCTGGTTCCTGGTTTGAAAGTGGAGAGTCGACTTTTGTGCCTTGAAAAAGGAGTAGAGAGCGATAAAGGTACGTCTGTGGCTTATTTTTGAGTGCTCCTCGTACATTTTTGATCGTGATAGAAATTCTCAGACCAAAGTCAGCGCGATGATGGCCATACAGTTTTCTTGTGGATTTTTTAGTTGTTTCATCTCGTATCTATGTCAGTATCGTGATGGTGAAGTGGAGAGGGTGATTTTCTTCCTCTAGGCTTCGTTCGGCCGACTTTGCTTCGTCCTCGTTGAAAAGTGATCCTGAAAAAAAGGTCGATTCGCAAAATTATGTTGATTTTGAATGTACGTGATGACATGCGATTGCTGGCTATGTTCTCTATTCGTCTCGTGGAATTTGGCCTCAATTCCCTTCATGGCGGTTATTTCCGCCTTCAACTCCCTTACTATATCTGTGAGGTCTGACAGGGCTGAGCACAGGCTCGCAACAGCATGATCGCTACCAGAGAGACTTACACCATTGTAGGTGGCGTCCTGCGATGCCCTCAGTGCAGCAACAAGTTCGGTCCTCGTGGCTTTCCTCCAGACGTCCAGATCACTGTGTCGGATGAGGTCCCTCAGCTCTGAGTCGATCAAGATAGCAATGTCTACTTTGTCAGTGGGCTTGTCAGCCATACTGGATACAAGGCAAAAAGAATTCTGAGGGCCAAAGGCCCAGGGAATAACGAAAAAAGGGGGGGGTACTTTCCGGAAGCTCCAAAAAAGGCTACCGCTCTCAACCGTGTAGAACGCCCTGATTTGCACTTCGTTTGTGTCGTGCGAGTCATACTCATATTATGCAGCTTAAAGTTTTAGAGGCAATCTTCATTCACTTGTGCAAGCCAGTGTTGTGTGTACAGAAGGAAAGTGTTATCACCCTCAAATTGTTTACGTAGTGTATGGTGCGAGTGTTTGAATTCTTTATTCTCGCGATGGCACCATCGCCAATATGAGAAAAATATATGAGAAGGTGAGATTGTGGGTTAAACAGTTGGAAAGTGATTTACATCACTTTGAACTTTACAAGTATGGGAGAGGGTGAGCGCTGCAGGAGCAGATTGAGTAAATCAGCAGTGAGCAGATTTCTTGTTAGAAAGCAGATCGGGAGAAGACGTCACAAATGCTAGCAGGGAGGGCATTGTTGTGAGTATGATTGTCCCCCTCCGTTCACACTTCCTTCCGTCTGTTCAGGTTCTTTCTTTGTTTTGCTGATGCTGATGATTCACATCTGCATTGTTCTTACCTGCTGAGCTTGCCCCCCATTGAATAGATGTAGTATTATCACCTTTTTTGTTTCGCTTTTTTTCACCTTCTTTCACTTTTATTTGTCCATATAAGATGAGTTCAAGTAGTTCCCATTCCATTGTTACGTAGATCCACTGATGATTGAAACAAGAAAACAGTTCTGAACGAATCCTCGCTTTCCCTTCCTTGTGTGCTTTGAAATAATCGTACAACATTTTACACATACATGTCGACATAATATATGAAATGCTTACTGTGCAATTAGTTGTCTTTGTAGCTATAATGATAATAATAATAATAATTGCAATTTCAAATTTGGACTTCACGGAGAATTTCAAATTTTTAGGAAATTAGAGGCCACATGCCAAGTACTGCTCTTTTCTCTCCGAAACTCAACACTTGCAAGCCAGATATGTAAGATATGTCAGTCACACCACCGGGACTCGAACCAGGGACCTTGCTATTCGCGAGCGATGCTCTAACCAACTGAGCTACAGTATGACTCTTATCCACAGTGATGGTAAATCTATCCTTCTTCGATCGATCCACATCTGGCTTGCAACATACTGGCAACTCACACCAATCAATTTTTTTTTTTTTTAAATCGATTCTGGCTTCCAGGGCAAATTGTAAACCTTGGGAAAAGCCCGAAACCTGGCCGAAATTCTAACTCCTTAACAGCTGATCCAATTGTTCCGAAACCTTCACAGAACAATTTGCCGTGCCCTAACAAGCCCTTACTTTGTTGTCCAATTTTCCCTTATCTTCATACTTTTTAAGACCAAAACCTGATTGCTAATCATTTTGAAACGGACTGCAGGAGCACGGTTTACTGAATCCAATATTGGCTGACGAGTGCGGTGACCAAAAAACATTATAGTCAAACATAATGGCCGTATAGATTTCGTTCAAATTTTGCAAAGGTATATCTCATCTCTTTGCATCCAACACGGAGTTCCACCTGGAAAGGTCTTCCACGAGCGGCGTCAGATTCAGGTCATAACGGGTACATGAGATCAATCACCGAGATGCCATATCCCGAAATCCCATTAGCCACATCGCAAAAGAACAGAACTATGACAAAAACGCCTTTTTATGGTACATGCAGAACGTGACTTACAGTGATTCAAATTTGGTTGTGGCTTTGAACAGCCCGGCAGGTAGGCGAACAAGTTGATTACCTGTCAAATCCCTGGGAGAACAAAGTAGAATTTTGATAGGATGTATAATCCTGGAAGAATTTCTTATTACTTTATTTTGCGTGCTAGTTTGTAGGTAGAGTGTGTGGATTACAGTAAGGGCTGCGTCCTACCCGCCTATGTAGTTTCACACAAAGTGTGAGTTACGAAGTCTGAAGAAAATGTTGAACGGTTTCTGCTGGGATGACCACTACACCAAAGCTCAGTGGTTACAGCATCGCTGGCTACACGCGAGGGTACCTGGTTTGGTGGTGTCAGGCAATTTTTTCTTCAGACTGCTCCTGCTGCCATCGCCGTCGTTGCCAATCTTGTCATTCTTCTAGCTGATGTGGTTCCTGTCACTGCCACGCCAGTAAGTATCTTGTTCCTTTTGTTTTTCCGGTGGTTTAGTTAATTGTGAGGTGACGTTGCTTGGTGTTGATGCCGCTGCGTTAGACCAACTTGTACCAGGATGATTTTTTGCTGGACGTCTTCTGTTGTCGAATGCGTGCGTCCAGATGTTGACAAGATCGGCAACGATGGCGATGGCAGCGTCTAAAGCACTGGCATCAACACCAAGCAATAGCAAAGATCAGCAACGACGGCGATGGCAGCGTCTAAAGCACTGACATCAACACCAAGCAACAGCACAGATCAGCAACGACGGCGATGGCAGCATCTAAAGCACTGACAGAGGCAACAGCTAGGGTCCACTCGACTAGCCATTTGGTATCGGATGTATCCACCGTACATGCTGATTGTTCTGATGTTAACCCTTTACTGTCCGATTAACATGTATACAAGCCCACGCAACCACAAAATCTGAAACTAAAATTAGACGTAAGTTTGGTTTGAATTTGACGATTTCCACGATCTTGGGCATCCTGGAAAGGTCTTGACGAAACGAACGCAATGAGCCCACACTCGGCGCCACAGGATGCACTGGTCCAGCGCTGCAAGCCAGGGAACGCACAAAAGCGCTGAGCTCATGCTCCAGATCGATCTCAATCCACCATGTCACCCCTGTTGCTCGTATTGAGCTCAAATATTTTCGTAGAGACTCCCGGGAACCTACTTTTGAATTTGAATCGGTGTAGCCTTGCCAACAGGTGACGTAAACAGGGAAAATCCCAGCCGTCGACATGTGCGTCGCGCTCTGAACGCACATTTCCCGGAACCAGAATTACGAGTGCGATAACTCAGCAACCGCTCTTCGTATCGCTTCGGGAATTGTTCGGGGCGACAGCTGAGACTTCGACCTACATATTTCGATCTCTCAAAAAGACTTAGATTTGAGCAAGTTACGATAATTTCAAAATGCCTACCCCATCGATCCCATTGGATCGATGCTTGTATGTACGGACAGGAAAGGGTTAATTCAGATAAGCATGAGTCGTCCATTGCTAGTCATTTGTTTGGGGATCCTGATTGTCGTGCTGTGTATTCAGATGATTTTTTTCGATTGTGTCATGTGTGCGCAGTGCTAGATTGCCGAATGTTTCTGAAGCTGTATACATCCGCACAAAGAAACACAACCTTTGCAAGCAGAAGCAAATTAAATTCACACTTAGGCTGTTAGGTAGGTCGTGAAAACCTCGTTAGTCATGTCCAGTGATTGTCTCTTGTTGTTGCACTACATGTCACCTCTTATTGACTTTTCTCGCACTTGCACTTTTGTGTCATTATTGCTATGTGTATAGGTCACGCATTTTCGCTGTTTACTTTAGGCTGCGGTCACACCAAGTGCGATTCAGCCATTCAGCGGAAAAAAGCGCTTTTTGACGTCATCGTCGCTACGGAAACGGCTGAATTTTCGGCTTCAGCCTTTTTCAGCAGTCAGCCGTTTTCAAAGCGCTGAATGGGAGCGCTGAATGGATTCAGCCACTTTCAGTCATTCTGGCGCAGTACAGTGGCGGGAAAAATAAACTTGTTCAAAGCGCATCTTGGCATGATCTTGCAGCTTGCATCGTGTTCTGCCACCTTCCGGCTTTCGTTGTTGGTGAAACTTCTCTCCTTGCCTTTTTGTCGGTCATAATGGAATCCTGGACAGTAGCACTGGAGGGGCGACTACTGGAGCTTTGGTTTGAAACAAAAACCAAGTATGAGACCACTGTGAAAAAATATCAGAAAGAGAGCGTGGATCTTGAACGAACTGAAGAAGTGTGCTGGAGAAGGCGGACGGGAATCAAGAGAAAATCATATTCAAAAATGAGCGGGAAGAAAAAAACTCTATCACACAAAAAAGTCCAGCCGATTTCGCGAAGTGGTGTGACCAACCACCCCATTCATCACAAGCCACTTTCAGCGCAAGCGGGAAACGGCTTGTTTGGTGTGACCGCGGCCTTAGCTATCTTTTTCTTTGCGCTGTTTGATCACCTCCTTACTGTACTTAATTCAGTGTTCCTTTTCCTTTGCCTGTATTTCACCTGATGAGAAGACTTAAAAGTATACTTGTGAAACCAAAAACTTCCAAGATGTTCGTAAATAGCCTGAAGTGTGTCCTTTTTATGAGTATTATCGCATTCTTGTCTCAGAGGAAACTGTCTATCTAAGCAGTAAAACAATAAGTTATGATTTTAAATAGTATTACTCGGATGGTGAGCCAATTTAATTATGGTAAAAGAGGAGAAGGACAACCTGTCACGAGTATTGACTAGGGACCATTAGCAAGCCATGAAACGCTAACATGAAGGGGGAGCTGGGTTAGGCCGTTACCACACTGCGTTTGTTTGAGTCGCGTTTGCTTCTGCGTTTGCGTTTGAGACTGGAAAATGCAAGATGTGATATCATACTATACTTGTGATTTTCAGCGTTTGCGTCAAGATCTGCGCGCTCAGGAAAATACAAAAATGTGGGAATCGATCTACAGGTGGCCGTGGATGTTGAATATATTTTCCTGAGATCGAGAGGTGTTCTGTTTCTGCTCCTATGTCCTTTTTCAGAGGTGCTGGGTGAATGGAAGTCGATGGGAAGACTGCAGCCATTGCGTTGCCTGTGTTGGGTTGGCAGTTCCGTTGTTGAGGCACATCGTCCAGCTAGGCTATCCGCCCCCAACTAGTCAGCGCAACCACAGCCACGAGCTCGCATCAGCTTCATGCCTCGCAAAAATCAATCAATCAGTACATGTAGTTTTTTATGTTGTTTTTTTACAAAAAAACAACAAACACCATTTGACGGCACAAAGCAGCAAGGCAGCGATTAGACATATGGAATGGCAGGAGTGGGGGAGAGGCAGGGGCAGCTTGACCGACCATAGGGTCTCGGCTTCATTGCAACCCAAGCGCTCCATTAGTGGAAGTACCCTCGCCGGCCTCAGCAGCTAGATGGAAATGAAGATTTGCAAAGCACAATTGAGAATCACTTGAAAACACTCAAAAACAATGCAGGAAGTGCTGCGATAAAGAAATCTGCGTTTACGCGATTCGGTTTTGACCACACGAGAAACACTGGGGCGAGGCGTGCCGAGTGAGGCAAGGATGGATGGAGGCGTGCACAGCTCCAAGTCCTGTGCCGGGCGTGTGCCTGCATGCGTGCGCGAGTACTGATCTTAGGGGTGGAGGTGGCTTATTTCCAGCTTGAGGCCAGGATTAATACAAACGATGAAGACGACTGGACGATGTGCCGTGGCAGGAAAGCGGGGTATCCAGGTGGTCTGGGAGGTCGGCAGGGGCCACAGCAGCTCCGAGGCGGATCCAGTTTCGAGATGGTGAGGCTCAAGTTTTACAGTCAACAGCTGGCGATTGACGGGATACCGAGAGTTGAGGCGAGCTGGAAAATGTGGCGAGCGGACCTCAGGGATGGCATGATGAAAACTCTGAAGAGCCCATGCCGGGGACACAAATTTCAAGTTTTAGGGGCCACAGCAGCTCTGAGGCGAATTAACGGCAACCCGAGAGTTGATTGGAGCAGGAAACTGCGGCGAGAGCTGGCGGGTATTGAGAGAACACCGAAGAGGTCAGCATCTGGGGTCACCAATTTAGGGTTTTACGTTGGCCGCTAGTCGGCCGCTACAATGACGTTTTTTCTCACGCATGCTTATACTGTAATAGTGCCGTCAGGTCGTTACAGAGGTATCTGTACGGGAAATGTTTTTCTTCTGTATTGAGCTGTGTACAACTACTTGATTTTGCTGGAAATACCGTAGCTCACACCAACTTGTTGTTGTTGTTGTTTATAATACTTCACCTATCCATAGGACAGGTTTTCACAGAATGATGAAGGGATGATAAGCAAGGGAAAACAAGAAATGATAATAATATAAGACAGAATGGACCAAAAGAAGAAAAGGAAAAATTGTGTGAAGACAATTTCATCGAGTCAGAAATAGAAAGACAATAATTTCATGGTTGACTAATATGGTGGTAAAGACACACCTGGCAATATGGCGGTAAACACACGCCTGCCCACACACGCTCTCTAGGCTGCTACGTTTTGGCACAGAGCTCTCCTTCTCACCACCACCACCATCAGTTCGCGCCTGGCGCCTGGTCGATGCATGGCTGGCGGTACCCGGCATAGCAGGCTGGTACATCAAGTAGCGCATGGCACATAGATGATGACACAGCAACGACATAGCTCGATTGCGACGCACGTTTCGTCCCCGCTGGACTCATCAGGCAATCTTCTTCTTGGATGTCTTCATACGGAGCTTGACTCGGGAGAATGAAGTTGAAGACACCACTGCAGCTGTACTTATGGTTGACAAATATGGTGGTAAAGACACACCTGGCAATATGGCGGTAAACACACGCCTGCCCACACACGCTCTCTAGGCTGCTACGTTTTGGCACAGACCTCTCCTTCTCACCACCACCACCATCAGTTCGCGCCTGGCGCCTGGTCGATGCATGGCTGGCGGTATCCGGCATAGCAAGCTGGTACATCAAGTAGCGCATGGCACATAGATGATGACACAGCAACGACATAGCTAGACGCGATTTCTTCGCTGATGTCGCTGCGACGGTAATTTCGAGTCGTTGAGATCAGTCAGGCGTTGCAGCCCGCACGTTTCTCG